TCTTATATATATTTTATTTATTTAAGAAACACCAAAACGTCAGCAAATTATCAAAGTAGCTCTATCCATTGTATATTATGAACTAAGCAAAATACAGTGCAAAATTTGAGTTAGCAAATAATCATAGAATTTAAATTATGATAACGAATTATTAACATGTGTAACCATGGGTCAGGTTGTAGATGGTTACCACTCCAAATGTCAGCAAACAATTATTGAGATTAATATGTTCAATTCAATTATTCAAATGTAAATAATAATTATTCGCTAATATTTGATATTTTGTATTTAATTTTTAATTTTTTAAGTAGGTTCTGTACAAAATGTTCATAGTTCACTATCGTGTGCAGTATACAAATTATAAATTTAAACAGGTCACCTCAAATTTTCGTAAGTCGCACATAAACTTTGGCTACTAACCTAATTACGTATTCTGTAAAATACATGTAATGGTAGGTAATTATGTAAGTTATATACTTATACATTCCATATATATTATTATACAAATATTACTTATTCTGCTAGTTTAGTTGGCTATTTTAAATATAGTATATTCTTCGGTGCTTGATCAAAAGGCAAAACTTGTCAAGTCAAAATTATCAAGTTTTCAGGAGGTATATCTATACATTCATAAGTCTTGTGTAAATCCAATTGTGTTCATTTTTTATTGGAGTTGAATCAATTATTAATTTAATGATTGGTATATAAAAAATAAATCTTAAAAAATAAATTTTTTAAATAATACATCACATTAATGACATACATCATTCTTTCGTTTCTTAAATAAGAATTTTAACTTGTGAAGTTCATCTTCATACAGTTTTCTGAATACATGATTTTTAAGACTCCCACAATATAAACTATAGATTTTTAGATTCTGAGCGGAGCGATGAATGTATTGGTTTTACAATGATGTATGTTTTTATATTTTTTTTTTTTGTGTCTGTCATTACGTTTTAGGACAGTAAAAGTCCTTGGATTTTCTTCATCAGTAGCTTTTCTGATAGGAAAGTGAATCTAGTTGGTACTGTGGCGGGTCAAAAGTATAAATTTCCCAGTAGTTTTCACAAGCGCCGGGAAAAACAACATAAAAATTAAGGAAAAACGGGAATTTTTACGCAAAATTGGTTTTCCAAAAAATCGATTTTGGTTATTGGTGTAACTTTAAAACAAATGAACGTACATACAAAAAATATTTTGAAAATTGGCGCAACATTCTTAAATACGACTCTTGGTGGCTGGATACACACACCACCTAATGTACAATCTAGTTGTTGTTACCTACTTTTATATAAATATATTTTTACTTATAAAATTAATTGTTGATTGTCGACTGCAATTTGCAATAAAATTATAGTATAAAACACATTCGTAAATCTAAAAAGATAAGTTTTTTGGATAGCTCCAATGATAAATAGTTTCTACAACACCAAAAAATGGAATTTTTATGATAAAAACAGCCACATTTTATTGATTTAAGATGTGTAGTTTTATTTGGTTTTTGAAATGAACCTCATAATAAATTAGGTTCATTACATTTTGATGAAAATTCATAAGAAAACAAAAAACCAAGAAAGTTACTAAAAAAATGCACTTCCGACAAAATTTAAAAAAGTTTCTAAATTCAATTACGGTAAGAAGAATAAGGAATGATTTAAATTTCTATAATAATTGATTAACATAAAATTGTTTTGTTGTAACAGTTAAATGTGAACAGTCTAGTTCAGTGATGACTATGATCGTGTTTGTTGAGAACATTCTAGGTACCAATTCATTTTTTGAATTGCTGTTAATAATATGGAATACCTAATGTTCTCTTTTATACAAATTAATTAATTAAGAAATACCAAAACGTCAGCAAATTATCAAAGTAGCTATATCCATTGTATAATATGATCTAAGCAAAAAACAGTGCAAAATTTGAGTTAGCAAATAATCATAGAATTTAAACTATGATAACGAATTATTAACATGTGTAACCATGGGTCTGGTTGTAGATGGTTACCACTCCAAATGTCAGCAAACAATAATTGAGATTAATATGTTCAATTCAATTATTCACTAATATTTGATATTTTGTATTTAATTTTTAATTTTTTAAGTAGGTTCTATACAAAATGTTCATTGTTCACTATCGTGTGCAGTATACAAAATATAAATTTAAACAGTTCACCTCAAATTTTCGTAAGTCGTACATAAACTTTGGCTACTATTCTAATTACGTATTCTGTAAAATACATGTAATGGTAGGTAATTATGTAAGTTATATACTTATACATTCCATATATATTAGTATACAAATATTACTTATTCTGCTAGTATAGTTGGCTATTCTGCTAGTATACTGTATAGAAGGCTATTTTAAACATAGTATATTCTTCGGTGTTTGGTCAAAAGGCAAAACTTGTCAAGTCAAAATTATCAAGTTTTCAGGAGGTATATCTATAATCTATACATTCATATATCTTGTGTAAATCCAATTGTGTTCATTTTTTATTGGAGTTGAATCAATTATTAATTTAATGATTGGTATATAAAAAATAACTCTTAAAAAATAAATTTTTAGAAATAATACATCACATTAATGACATACATCATTCTTTCGTTTCTTAAATAAGAATTTTAACTTGTGAAGTTCATCTTCATACAGTTTTCTTAATACATGATTTTTAAGACTCCCACAATATAAACTATACAATTTTAGATTCTGAGCGGAGCGATGAATGTATTGGTTTTACAATGATGTATGTCTTTTTATGTTTTGTATTTTTATATATTTTTTTTTTTTGTGTCTGTCATCACGTTTTAGGACAGTAAAAGTGCTTGGATTTTCTTCATCAGTAGCTTTTCTGATAGTAAAGTGAATCTAGTTGGTACTTTGGGGGGTCAAAAGTATAAATTTCCCAGTAGTTTTCACAAGCGCCGGGAAAAACAACATAAAAATTAAGGAAAAACGGGAATTTTTACGCAAAATTGTTTTCCAAAAAATCGATTTTGGTTATTGGTGTAACTTTAAAACAAATGAACGTATATACATGAAATTTTCACTGGTTGTTTATATTTGCATTTTCTATACACGATAACATTTTCAAAATATTTTGATTTATTTTGAACTGTTAAGGGACATTTTCATTTTCCATTTTTTTTTAGTTTTTTTTCTAAAAATATCAATTAAATTTTATTTGTTGGTTGCGAAAGCTTAAAAATTTAATAGAAGGCTCCTAATATATTTTTTCAAAGGCAGATGAAAAATATTAAAAATACACAGGCACGATTTTTTTTTATAAGCATTTAAAGTTGGAATTTTGACAAAATTTATCAAAATCTCGAAAATTATCAATCGTTGGAATTAAAAAATTATAAAATGTTCAGTTTTTATAGCTAAGGATTACAAATTCAACACAAAGGTTCTCATAAATACAGTTCAAGTTGACTTATTTTTTTTACATACCTTTTATAGTATAAATTTAAATTTAAATTTAATAAAATGGTCATTTAACATCTAAAAAAATTAGTATGTAAGTTGATAACAATTTTACATGAAAATTTGATTACATTTTCTTTTTCAGGTGTGTTAATTTATAGATTAACAAATACATTTTCTTAGTTGATGGAATATTTATTTAAGTTAAGTTTTAACTTTGCTGTTTTTGCTTTATATATTATATGAATTAAATTTAAAATCGCATTAAATATTTGTTACTTGTGCCTCATGAGCTCTTCATTACGTTAAACATAATCTCCTTCCAGAATTTAGACCTACAGTTGTTTTGACGGACTTTGAAGCAGCTTTGAGAACAGAACTAATCATGCATTTTCCAACAGCTGTAACCCGAGGTTGTTGGTTTCATATTAACCAAGTGTGTAACTTTTAAATTAGAAAACTGTAATACAATATTCATTAACATAAATAAATCATAAAACATAATACTTTTTTAGGCTGTTTGGAGTAAAATTAAAAAATTTCATTTTTTGAATTTTTGCAATACCAATGAAGCCGCTTAATAAACATTGAAGATGATTATATTAATTCCTACACTTCCAGCACAACGAATTGAAGAAGGGCTTATTGAAGGAAAGCGTTATGCTTCTATGCATAATGTAAACATGCTCAGGTTGTTCAATTACTATGAACGGTATGTAACATTAAACTATAATTGAGTACAATAATTAATATTTGTACCACCTACTGAATTTTTGTAAAAATGATTATTAAAATTAATTTGTAAAAGAAAAATTAGGACTAATAACAATGTTGATTCGTTTCACAATAAATTACGACAAATGTTCCAGACTTCTCATCCAAATATTTGGGTAATTTTTATGAAAAATAAAACATTTTATTACTCTACAATATAATCTAGTTTGTTTTGATGTAATATATATATTTTTTTTAAGGAAATATATGCAAACCCATTGACAATTATTCAATAAAGCAGTAAAAAACAGACAATGGTTTAGTCATTTTACAGACTAAACGCGCAATTATGTCACCCACGACAAGAGCATTAAATTTTGCAAGTCGTAGACTTTGGTAAGGTTTAATGAACTTCAGAACATTTTTAAAACTATGTCCTTATAGGGTAGCTGGGTATGAAGAAAGAATGTGAGTACTGGCAACAGGGCAAATTCTTAGTAATTTAGAGAAAACAACATATCAATATAATATAAAAAAACACTGCAAAATACTCGCAATTTTCTGTTTTTTTCTGTAACTCCAAAAATAATTATTTTAAGATATTGTTACGGATTATCATTTTTAATTAAAGGTAGATACCAAGTAGTTAATTTTATAATGCCTGATAAAATATGAGCATTAGTTATTCTAATATAAGTATTAGATTAGATGTATATTACAATTTAAAATAGTTTAGGTAATTATTTAGGTAATTCTAACATTACTAAACATTACGATTAAAGTCTCTATAAAATCACCTAAATAATGATAATGTCTTGCGATAAATAGATCAATCCTTATACTTTTGAACTGTATCTGTATATTATTTATTCAATTTGAACAAAACTTGAATTACTAAATAACCAATCGCTATGTTTGATAAACTAAACAGTTGTCTTATATTAACATGACACATTCCATACAGCTCGAAATGAAAGTGTTCGTGTAATCTTCTAAGTAAAAAACACTTGATCTAAATAAAAATAAAAATAAATATTCCTGTTAAATCATTTATGTAATATGAATAACATGTAGTTAATACTTATAATAGTCATATTTTATATAATATACCTGACGTTTAATTCTAGGGTTCTTTTCTATTAAGGATCGTTGATGTAAGACAAGACTCATCCGATTTACCTGGTAATACAAAAATTAAATTTGAAATAAGTCAAACATACTAATAATTTTAATACAAAACGTACATTATATAGGTTACATGAACTATCTGTGTTTTTGTTACTAAGAAAGTTTTATTATTAGTTTCTTTATATAGAGAATTTTTATATTTATTCGTTTTTATTCACAAATGTTACCAAGTACTCAGAGTAGATGGAAAATAATTCTAAAGAGCTAATTAAACATATAATAAATTCAATTAATACATAATATTATAAAATAAAAACCTCTTTTTCGGTGGTGTCACCAATTGTGTATAAAACTATGACATTGACTGTTCTCATCAACAACCTTATGAAAGACATTACCAAATAAGGATCATTGATATAGTCTCTAGGGAATAATAGATATCCGTATATGATAAGTATGATTTCAGCAACATCTGCTCCAATAAAAGCAACAATGGCTGGCACACCATATATTGATCTATTGACTTGGTGTAAGCATTCTATAACTTCCAAATACATGTCTCTGAACGTACTTAAGCACGATTTTCTTTCCGGAATTTGTTCATTTATTATGTAGATCATCCACTTCATGTATGATATTAGCAGTATATATTCACAAAAACAAAAGCATTGGCAAGTATTTAAAACCACAATTATGACCTAAAAATAAGTGTTATATAGTAAACGGTTTGTGTTTTGAAAAAAAACATTTTACTTTTTTTTATTCGAATACATAATCTGAATATTAATTTTTTTGTATTTATTTTATCATCAAAAAGTTCTCTTTTTTGAAACTTAAAAATAATTTATATTTGTGAAAAAAAACAAACTTTTCTATTTAAAATCAGACACACTATATTTAGTATTAAAATAGTTTTTCTCTTCGAATTAAATACGATTAACTCATATTTCCAAAACTGAAAAATATAAATTCTAATAATTCTTTTTGTGAATTTGTATATGTCTTCAGAAGAGATTTTTTTAAATGTATTCATCCCAGGGGCGGACTGGCCTGGCGGGACACCGGGACAAATCCCGGTGGCCTGGTACAATAATAGATTAAATGGCCTGATAATATTTTAGAAATTAAAAATATAGTATACGAATAAACATAAAAATATAATAAACATAATGCATATGGTAGGTATTACCATATCAATTATCAGCTAGTATAGTCCATTATACATGGATTTATCGCCTCTATCCCCAGTCAACTTCAATAGTTTTAAACATGGTTTACCAAAAACAGCCTTAAAAGTTCTCTCTAAAAATTTAATCCGAATTACAGTCAATGATAATTTGAAAGAATTCCATCAAAAATTAAGAGAAGAATTACTAAGTTTTGGTAATAATTGGGATAACTTAAAAAAATCAGTTGAAGACGAATATGATTTTGAAAATTTCGATTCAGAAGATGAATATCAAGAAGCTGAAGAAACTGCCGGATTAAATATGACCTGTAAAACATGCAAAAATTGTGCTTGTTGCTGTTTAAAATTATTAGTAAAATACAATTTGTATAGTAATGCGTATACAAATTTATCTTTGGCTTATAATTATCTTTTAACTCTACCGGTAACACAAGTAGCATGTGAGAGGTCATTTTCAACTCTAAAATTCATAAAAAATCGATTACGAAATACTCTAACTAATGAGCATTTGGAAGCGTTTATGTTGATGTCCGTGGAAAAGCGAACATTAGTATCTATAGATGACGATATTTTAATCGACAGAATTGGGAAAACTAGTGAAGTTATGAAAAAAAACCTAATTATGTAAAAAAAGGAATTACTTTAAGAGTTAATTTTAATATAAATTTTATTATATTAAATTGTATACACTGTATCTATAAAAAAATATCTTATATATTATGTGTAGTTTCATATATCTTACATACAATTTTGAAAATATTTTTTAAATAATAAAGGTTTTTTATCATTATTATTATTTTTTTTTTTTGCACACTTATGACCAAATCGTTGGTCCCCTATTAATTTTTGGCCTGGCAAAAAAAAATTCCCGGCCTGAAATATTAACTCAGTCCGCCCCTGATTCATCCTATATTTGATATAAATGTATTAGGAATATCGCAATACTATTTAGTTTAATACGTATTCCAAATAAATAATAAAAGTATTCTTTAAATACTGATTATTTCTGAACCCATAAAATATCTTTGGATAAGAATAATTACCATATCTATTATATCCAATATATGTTTCTGCATTATTATCCATATTGTTGTAGTTATAATAATTAAAATGATATTTACAATAATTATAACTATAGAAATCCAATTAATATTTTTTATTTTCTTCAGCCCGTCCACATTCAAGCGTATCAATTTCTCGTGAACTGTTTCAAATGTAGTCAATACCGTGGACAGTAGATTATCGAAAAATATGCGCCAAATTGTACATATGAATCGTCCAATAACACTCAATTCATAACAGCTAATGAATATTAAAGACGTTAGTTCAGTAATTTCCTTATCAGCTTCTATGATCTATAAAATGTAATTTTTTAAACACATTTCACAATTACTACATCATATATATAATGGTAGGTATTTATATTAAATCATTGATTTCGATAATCTTTCGTTTATTTGTTCATCAAGAAGATAATGTACTAAATTGAACAAGTTTGTAGGAAATTAGCTATAATAAATTAAAAATTATAATAATATTACCAAACCTAATGGTTAATATGATATAATATTACTGTTGTATCATTTGAATGTTCATAATAACAAATAATGTTGACAAATTGAAATTTGTAATTATGGATATTTTTCAATATGCCTACCATTTATGTAACAGCATACAAAACTATTAAATATATTTAAATATAATTATTACCCATCGGTTGGCCTTGTAGAAGTTATACAACCCAATATACATTAATATACATCGTAAAACATAAAACACCACCGACGTATTATAATTGCCGTGGTTGTAATTTGTACTACCAAATCCGAAAATTAAAAAACCTTTGTTAAAATTATTTAACACTAATCTCACACTCATAATAATTTTTTTTTTTAGTTAAGTACAAAAAAAAATGAATGTAAATAACTTTGGAAAGTGCGTACTACCTATACCTGTTTGTTTCAATTGTTTACTAAAAACAATACTTTGCGAAAGCTATCTTTCAACCTATATTAATAAGTGTAATTTATGATTTAATTGCTATTAATTAGTAATTGACTTTACTTATAGTAATACATGTAGGTTGAATTAATCTATTGCGAAAATATTGTACTTGACAATGTCATTGTATGAATAAAATATAATAATATGTTCAAGTTCGCATGAATAATATATTTATTTAATTTACGAGTTGGTTAGTATTTGCAAAGACTAATTAATTAGGTAATTTTCACGACTATGTCAAAATTCTAACTTCAGACGCTAATAACAAAATATTGTAGAGTTAAGTAATTTTTTTAATTAATAAAATATATAACAACTTAAAAGGATCATTGCAGAACATTTTCAAGGTTTTTGAATAAGAGAAAAATAATTTATTGTCTATCGATTACAATTTTAAAAAGAACCATAAGAAATCAAAAATTTCTCGTGCAAACGAACGGCTTAAAAAGAATCAAGATATTAAAAAAAAAAATCATTTATGAATAATGGGCTTGTAATATAAATGTTATGACAATTTAATGTATCACCTGTTATTAGTTGTTGAGTTACATCAAAAAATATATTCATTTTTTCAAAAAATACATAATTTCTATATTATTGTTGTGTCTTTACTTTGCTTGTTACGAGTTACGGAATTTCATTAGAATTATTTCCAAGTAAAGAAAATGTAATGGAAATTATTTTTGGAAAGTAATTTCTATAGAATAACGCGTTACAGTTTTGAATATTAAGTACCTACCTACCTATTGCGAATTGAAGAAATATATATGAATGCTCCGGTATTATTCTGTTTACCAATCTAATATGTACATATATTTAAATTTAACTTGTCACAATTCAGTTTTCAATGGTTTTGACATTTTAAATGTCTAATTGCACCGTAAATCACGAGAACAGTTTATTAAATTTATTATTTAGTTTGATTCCTTTAAAAAGGTTTCCTATGAGTATATTTTATGTGGAAGACTAAATGTTATATGATTCTATTAACAATACAGGTTTTATAAAGAATTTGCTTGTTCAATTTAAAAAAACCATTACCTACTATAAATTATTATATCTATAATTTCTATAAATTATTACCTTTTTTTCACTCATAATCAGTCGATGAAGATAAATATACAAATATTTTTACCACTTCTGTTGTTTGTTTTAGTTCTACAATAGGTATTACAAAAATATTTTGAAAATGGGCGCAACATTCTTAAATACGACTCTTGGTGGCTGGATACACACGCCACCTAATGTACAATCTAGTGGTTGTTACCTACTTTTATATACATATATTTTTACTTTTAATATGTTACAAAGAACATACCCAGAATATCCTGTCTGCCGCATTTCCAAGAACTTATACTTATGGTAACATTAATTTTTTTTTTATTTACTGGATATTAAGGTGTTCATTTGAACACCTGTTCGTTATTTTTAAATTTTAGAACTGGGGTTCTAGTTCTTATATGTGTAAAAAATACTAAAATGTTGTATAGAACATTTAAAATTAATCAGAGAAGTTTAACCGATGCCCCAAAGCCTTGAAAAGTTTAACATTACTAATATTTTAAACGCAGGTTATTATCTATATCTGTGATAAAATCAAATTTATATTAATTGCCATAATAAATTGATCGTATCAGATATTCGTATGTTTAATGTTATGTACTATAGGCACTACACTATCAGTGGTTGTGGACGTTTTACATTTTATAATATAAACTATTAATTTAACCTTTTTATTAATGTGTTATGACTGATGAATATTGGTCCAACATTTGGCTAACACATTGTGGATATATCGGAGAAGAGTTTTTACTTTTTACCTCATAATAAATTATGTTCATTACATTTTGATGAAAATTCATACGAAAACAAAAAACCAAGAAAGTTACTAAAAAAATGCACTTCCGACAAAATTTAAAAAAGTTTCTAAATTCAATTACGGTAAGAAGAATAAGGAATGATTTAAATTTCTATAATAATTGATTAACATAAAATTGTTTTGTTGTAACAGTTAAATGTGAACAGTCTAGTTCAGTGATGACTATGATCGTGTTTGTTGAGAACATTCTAGGTACCAATTCATTTTTTGAATTGCTGTTATTAATATGGAATACCTATGTTCTCTTTTATACATTATATTCATTTAAGAAACACCAAAACGTCAGCAAATTATCAAAGTAGCTATATCCATTGTATAATATGATCTAAGCAAAAAACAGTGCAAAATTTGAGTTAGCAAATAATCATAGAATTTAAATTATGATAACGAATTATTAACATGTGTAACCATGGGTCAGGTTGTAGATGGTTACCACTCCAAATGTCAGCAAACAATAATTGAGATTAATATGTTCAATTCAATTATTCGCTAATATTTGATATTTTGTATTTAATTTTTAATTTTTTAAGTAGGTTCTATACAAAATGTTCATTGTT